TGGCACATGACAGAAACAGGACGTGGGACTTGTTTTTCCCCAGAACAAATGAAAGAATCGAAGCTACGTGAACCCGTGCTTAAATCGAGTCATTGAGGAGCAAGATCGGGGGAGTTAAGGCAACTTAGCCAAACGCTTACTGCCGGAAGCCGTGCTAGTGCTCTTCTGGAGCATCTCACAGCGATGCCCTGCCGAGAGCTAAAGGGGATCAGGGGGATCGACAAGGGGGAATCCAATATATAAATACACACACACACATATACACACTTAATTACAAAGGCTAGGGAACTACATACATACATATGTACGTATATATACATACACACACACACACACACACGCACGTATCATATATACAGATGCTTAAGCTGCCCACACGCTCTGAATCCTGACAGGTTTTGCTGTACAGCAGAAAGCCACACTTACTTCCCAAGGTCTGTTCTGGCGTCTCCTGAACCAGCCCAGGTGTCCTTGTTTCCATGCCTAAATATCAAAATGGAGATTTTAGATGATTATTAAAAAAACAGTCTATGTCACAAAGGTAAGGCAGTTTATGTCAAAACCTTGCCCAGACAATAAAAAAATCAAGACTTCTCTATTCAAACTGTCTTAGAGAAAAAAGATGAAGAATGTCATTCTCTTTACTCCCCTTCATAATGTCATCCATCTAACATTTTATATCCCGTTCACGATGCTGGGGAGAGTGACACTTGGTGCGACTGAATTCAAGCCTAAGCAGTCTTGCCCAGCCTGCGCACTTCAGTCTGCGACGCGACGGGCCACGTGCTCGAGCGCTGCCCATACTAGTACCAAGGCTTTGCCCAAGGACGGAGCATTTCATCTGAGACTGTCAAAGGACTTGGCAAACAGCAGCTATGTCTCACCAATCTCGCAAGGCAGCTCAAATATTCTCATTGTCCCTATTTCACAGATGGAGGAACTGAGAATGAAGAGCACCTGGTTCATCTCGTCTGGCTCAACCAGGCTTTTCGCTGGAAACCAAAGCTGGTGTGCTGTCCCTCCACGACAGCAGAGCTGGAGGATATTGTGGCGCAGGGGGAGGACGGGGCGATGCTTTGCGCCTTTAGGCCTGTGAAATCCCTGCCCTGTCCAGCAGAGCCCGATTCATGGAGCAAAGAGTTATGCAGAGTGATAGCCCGGGTTGTTAGACATACATGCATATCATTTAGCTTCTTAATTATGCCTTCTTCAATGCTATTTGAGATTGTTTCCTGCAATGTCCCACAAATAAAGGCCTTTACAGCTTCCACCACAGCTCTGGGCTCTTACCTGCGGAGGAGCACTTCTAGGACCTCGCCTGGAGAAGCCAAGGCCCTGTATCCACAGAAAAAGCTGTTGATATTTATGAAATCCTGCAGCAGGTTTTCAATACAGTTTTACATGGCCTGTGAAACAAAAGATCAAAGTCATGGCATTACGACATGAGCAAAACCTGTGCTACCACCTGAAACAGCCTCATCACCATCCAAGCCTGGTGCTTGCATGTACATAACCCCGGACCTGGAAAATTATTTCACATCAGAAAGGAGGATCTGTGCTAAGCCGTGCACCTGACCCTCTACCGCAGGAGGACGTCTCGAGATCACCGCTAGTAGTGGTCTCTCGCAGCCGTCCTCTGCACCGCAGGCACCAAGGAGGTGGGTCCTTTGAACCTATGGTGTTGGCTCTGCAGCAAAATGCCAATGAGTTGTGACCACAGGAAGCACCCCATTTTGCACCCAAGCTTGGAGCTATGGAAACGAATGCCAAAAGTCTCGGTTAAGAAAGAAAGCATCCTTGGCAGCTGCCTCCTCAGTAATGATCAAGCTCAGCACTTTGCATTCAAAATGGGGTTGAAACCCTCCTCCGCAGGATGTCTCCAAATACCACCGGTTTGTGACCGCTGACACAAACAGGACCGTCGTGGGGGACGGCCAAATTCTGGATGGGTAAAGACAGCCACCCTGGCACTAGCTCAATTTGCCAGTTGGTGGCGATCTTGAAAGAGTAATTGGTTTTCTTAGCAGTGAGGCTACAAATGGGCATTGTTCGTTTGGAAAGGGTTCTTCACAAGGCAGGATAGATCTAGGATTTTTAAATGGAGAGGTCCCAGATTGGGCCCTCGGGCTCCAGACAGGGGTACAAGGCAGAAGTTTTGCGCCCGAGGCAGAGAAGGGCGGGTTGGCTGTGCGTGCAGGGGGCCGAGTGTTGGATGGTCTTACCCGCTCTTGGCAGCTGCTGCTCCTCCTGGAGCTGGCTCCCTGCTCCAGGCCTGCCTCCTTGTGCCCTTCCTGCCTGCTGGGGCGGCAGCACTTGAAGAAGGATGGCAGAGTGATGCACCCGCACCCTTCCTCCTGATCTGCCCTGTCAACGAGTTCAAAATTTGGTTAATGCTCAGTGACTACTTCTAGGGTGCAAGGAGCCAAGGTGATTGGGTGCTACACACATCTCTACCTTTCAAAACCAAACTAAAATTAATCAGAGAGACGCAAAGAGAAAAAGAGTTCAACGTGCATTGTGCCATTTCTTTGTACACCTCAAACTTGTCCCGATGAGCGTGCACATGCAGCTTGTGGCACCTCCAACCCATTTCAGGCCCCACACCCCACCCGTGGTGCACCTGCACCCATTTGCCATGCTGCGGATTTACTGTGTGGCGCCGGGGTCTAACAGAAGGGGTCGCTGGACTCCTCACATTTCGGGGTGACCGTCCAGTCTCCTCTGGAAGATTTCCAGGGTAGGGGACTGCACCACCACTGCAGGGAGTTTATTCCAGCCTGGACCCCCAACTGAACGCATACAAATCAATACTTCACACAGATGAAAGCAGGAAGCTTGGAAGAGAAACGGTGCATTTCCTTAGCACACGTTGTGAAGCTCTGCTGACCACTGCAGTCCTCAATTAACAGCTGAATCTATCAAATTAGGCAAGACAAACAGAGTACACGAGACTGAGAATTGGCATCTCTCTTCCATTTACCTTTCTCCTTCTCCAAAACACCCCATGTCTGGGACCCGGGAGAGCAGACTCTCCAGTCGTCTGTAGCTGTCTGAAAGAAAGAAGACAGAGCAAGTTGAACCCACCGCCAGTCATTCCTAGGTACTTCATGTTCGTATGGTGTCTTGCTTACTCAGAAATGCCTCGTTTGACTTGAAATCACCGCACAGAGACGGAGGAACGGGGGCACTGGCAGTGCCAGGGGGTGCGGGTCGGGAGTGAGGGGCACCATCCCGGCCCGGGGGGCAGGGTCCTGCAGTTTGGGGTGAGGGGCACTGGCAGGGCTGGGGTCAGTGGGTTGGGAGGGAGGGGCAGCAGCAGGGCTGGCGGGGGCTGTGGCTTGGCCGTGGGGGGCAACACAACGGGCAGCGACAGGGCACGGGCATCTCACTGCCCGCCCCCCACCCATCATATTCCCCCTGCCCGCCTCCGCCACGTGGCAGGCGTCCTGTTTCTTGGACCTGGAAACATGGTAACCCTAAAGCAAGATGCGCACCCTCGCTGCCTGCTCCGCTGCAAGCCCTCACCATGCCTGCCCAGCCCCGTGTCCTAGCTCCAAGCAGAGCCCCCCGCTCTCCTGCCCCCATGTCGGGCAAGCACGCTGCACACTTCAGCCCTTGGCTTGCTACTGAAGCGGGCTGCAGTCAGTTTAGGAAAGAACTGAAACCAAAGAAGTGAAACTACCCCAGCCACAAGTCCTCCACCCCTAGGGCTCCCCACGTGTGGGTGCAAACACCCCCCGATCTGCCCACTAGGCACCATGCTCGGCCGCGTGCCCACGCTTACCCTTGCGGTCAGCACCACAGCAAGGACGCAGTTGTGCCCTCCCTCCCAAGCAGTGACAGCTGGGGAGCAGTTCAGGTCAAGTGCTGTGTGCGTCTCCACGAGCCGCACAGCGCCGAGCCGGTTCTAGAAGGGGCCATTGTGATGCGTGTCCACATTCTCCGCGTCTCCCCGCGTGCACGTCTCCGCCGTGTCCGGCCACACCGCTGCATCAGCCACCGGGTGTGAGACCAGGGACTGGCTTGCAGGGACTTCAACCAGGACTGCGCCCTGCCAGGCTTTCCCTGCAGGACACTGTGACAGCACACGAGCAAGGGGACTCCAACACCAGCTCCTAACTCACACCAGTTCTTGAGTGTGCGCAGAGAGCCGACGGCCCAGGTCTAGCTCACACGTGTTCCCTGCGGTGGCTGTGACCCCGATTTCTGGAGCCCAGGGGGGCTGCCCCTGGCTCCCAGCTCTGAGCTGGGAGGAACACACTGGATTACTCGCCGCCTACATTGGGCCTTTTGGCGGTGTGCACCTTCCCAGGCTCTCCGCATTTCACCACCTTCACGGGCAACTTCCCTCCCTTCCCTTCAAGCCCTTGCCCTTTCTGGAGGGCGAACTGTTTAAACAGATGCGTGTCCTCCACCTCCCTCTTCTGCCTTTGGTGAAACAGCCCTTTCACCAGAGCGGTGGCTAAAGAGGCTCTTTCAGGGATATCACGTGGTCCCTGTGTCTTGAGGCCATGCTCCTTCTCTACCATCCTGATTTGACCTTTCCCGCCTGGGGTGGAGAGCGTCTGCACCGGCTGCTTTGAACACGTCCAGCCCCTCCAGCAGTTCCCTAACTCGGTCCTCCCTGAGCCCAGGCCTGGGGGTGCCTCTCCCGGGGCTGTCCGGGATCCCGGCCGCGCATGTCTGAGGCCCTGCTCAGACAAATGGAGGCAAAGGTTTTGTTCAAGAGGTCAGCTTTTTCATCTGGTGCAACCGCCTGATTGCCAAGCGTGGCCTGCCGAGCCCCCCGTTACCTGGTGCCTTCGTTTGACTGCCAATGTATTGAAGAAAAGGGACGGAGGTTTCCTGCTCGGTTAGGCAGCTTGCAGCAGAGACACGCAGCACGATCTGCATCCCCGGGCTAAGGAGTGAAGGGAAGTATTGCCCTGACTTGACCGTGCTCAGTCCTGGGCTGAGCTGGGCCTGGCTGCGAAAGGTGATGTGGGGAGAAGTGGTAACCCAACGACCAAAGTAACCCAGTAACACACCCTGCAGTAACCCTGGCACACGTGCCCCTCGAGTTCCCCAGGCTGCAGCCCCTCCACCTCCACCTTCGTGTGGAAAGCAAATGCAGAAAACGGTGCAGGCAGAAAACCTGAATTTGTGTTGGATGATCAAAGTTCAATCTGTATTTTTCTAAGATAGCTCGGAAAAGTCTGCGACATGAGCAAAACCTGTGCTAACACCTGAAACAGGCTCATCACCGTCCAAGCCTGCTGCTTCCATGTACATAACCCCGGACCTGGAAAATTATTTCACATCAGAAAGGAGGATCTGTGCTAAGCCGTGCACCTGACCCTCTACCGCAGGAGGACGTCTCGAGATCACCGCTAGCCGCACCTTGGGGCGCAAATATACGTATTCAAGAAGCCTTGCCCTTGCCCCCTTACAAAGCATGCCGAGGGCCTGCAGACACCGTTGGTCGTTGGGTTACTAGATGGCAGCTATGAGAGGGGAGCAATCCAGAAGGCTCTGCTCCGGCTTCAGGAAGTTTACTGCTCCGTGCCCCTTTTGGGAGGCTGCAGAAGTGGCCGAGACAGAGATGACGTGACCCGAAGGAGCCTCGAATTCTGCTCCTGGAGCCAGACTCCAGAAGAGGACACGTGGGTTCCTGTCCTGTACATCAGCGGGAAGACGACCAGAAGAACTGGGGCGCACGACACCTCCTGCCTGATCTTGTACTGCAGAGAGATGTCTTTTAACAGCTTTTAGAAGAAATCCCGGCACTCTCCACGCATCAGGGAATAAGCTCAGCGGGAGCTGCCACCGGCCTCAGACTGGCCTGTCGGTTAAGACACCTCTCACTGTTGACTCGCAGGACAGCGGCAAGGCTCCAAGTCCATGGTGAGCATAGGTGACACATTGGGCCGCTGTGGTTAACGCTCCCCGGTTTCTGGAGCCAAGAGCCTGCAACACAGTGATGTGGCTGACTTCACGTCCAGCTGCCTCTGGCCCCCCATCCTGAATGCCTGGGTCCCCACGTCCAGCCGGGTTGACTAGGACTGCCCTTGGTCCCCGTCTAGAGCCAGGCTCCATCTTCTGCCTCCTTTTCTGTGCTGCAGATGTCCGCGTCAGAGGGAGCGCCAGGCCTGTCTGAGACGCACAAGCATCCTCCCCTGAAGGAACAGGAGAGCGCGAGATAACTTCGCTCTGTAGAACAGGATCAAGGACGGCTGCCCACGTCCAGCTGGGTTGACTAGGACTGGCCTTGGGTCCCCATCTAGAGCCAGGCTCCATCTTCTGCCTCCTTTTCTGTGCTGCAGATGTCCGCGTCAGAGGGCTATGCCTCTCTCCGGCTGCGTTCAAGTCCCTGCACTGAGATGGCTGAGGCGGGATATGTGCTTTCTGCTACCTGCAGAGAGCCCTTGGAGGTGGACTAGGACGTGGGCCTGGCTCTGTGACCTCGGGGAGGTGCAAACGCAGCGGTGGTACTGCACTGGAGGCTGCAAGAGCCCCTGCTCGGACGATCCCTGGAGGAACATACCTTGGCCTAACGTGCTGGGGCTCAGCCCCAACTGTTCGGCCTGCTGGGACCCTGAGGACGTGGCTGCCTTTCCCACAGACCTCCCTTTCCCTTGGACCTATCTACATTGGAAACTGCCAGAGAAACACTGCCCAGAGCAGTCTCCTGTTAAGTCAGTGCTGATATTCCTGAGGAACAGCACAGACGAGACAGGATGAAGATCGGTCGGTCTGTGGTCAGGCTCCCTGGTACCAAACATCAGCAGCGTTTCTACTGCAGAAGAGATCTGCTCCTCCCTGCAGTGGTGCCCCCGAATCGCCAGCGTGGGGCAGGACCCTTGCCCTGCGCAGCAAAGTTCAGCTGGGGCCCTGTGTGACATCCTCATGTGCTGTGCTGAGGCCGACAGGAGCCAACCGTTGTCTGAAGCACTGTCGTAGTCCGTCTTGCGCGCAGCGTGTCTGTCCCGTCCCTTGCACGAGGCCAGGAGTTCCCACCTGCGGGTGCCGATGTCGAGAGCACGTGCAGCGTGCATTCGTTGCTGGCTCTGGAGTCATGGTTAGCAATGCAAGTGTGGCTGGGTCTCAGATGAGGGTGGACGGGCAGTGACCAAGCATCTGACCTCACAGCATTGCAAACTCAGAGCAGCCTGGGCCTGGAGGTGAACAAGGTGAGCTGTGTCTGCAGGCCAGGCTCGGCTAGGCCCTGCGCCGATCCAGTAAGTGTTCTGCACGGCGCTTTGCCTTTAGGACTCGTGCACCGTAGCTGTGGGACCGCTTCTAGGGATTCGTGCCCTTCAGCCTGGATCAGACAGCACAGCATGGCCTCTCTCTCTCTCTCTCTCTCTGTGTGTCTGTCTGTCTAGCACTCTATCGAGCTCCTTTGATTAGTCGACAAGGTACAACTCTACCCTACTTTCTGTTGTTCCTAGCCGTGTGGGGAGATGTCTCAGGTCGTACCTGGCTGCTGTTGCTTTTGGCCTACAGGCTGCTGGAGCCTGCCTGCCCGGGAAGGCTGGTGTTCAGGAGACGTCTTCCAGATCCTGAAGGTGACACAGAAAACACCACTCGGATACGTGGTCGGTGGCGAAAGCTCAGAAAGGTTTCTCATCGCACGGCATCCCCGCTGCCTGACGAACGCTCAGCCCGACTCGGTGACGTTTGCCCTTGAGCAGTAGAGACACCGTCCATTATTCATGGCTCCTCTCGGCCTCTACAAGGGACAGGTTTCCCAACCCGTGTATTTATCCCTGCAAGCCCCCATCTCGTGCTCACTCGTCTCTCTCTCTCTGTCGAGATGTTCATCTCTGCTTGTTACATTTGCCAAGGTTGTGCACCTGGACTTGTGATCTCTGGCTCATTAGGAAGTGCTTGAGTTTGTTTGGGGTTTTTGGTTTTTGTCCTTCCTTCAGTGTCTTTTTGCTCCTTGGTGTGTTTTCATTTTGTCCTTGTGACGGTGTCATCCAGCCGTCAGGAGGCTCCTTTGTCCCACACTGCTTTTTGGCACCACTGCTTATAATAGCTTAGTGTAACTAGGGCCTAGCACAACGGGAACTCCTCCAGCTTCTCCCTGACTTCAGGTGAGCACGGTGCTGTGTCGCGGAGCTCTGATAACAGCCCGCTCTTCTCAGCGCTGCCCTGATTGCTTGTGATGTTGGTGTGGTTTACAGTCACCGGATGTGCTGGGTATACTTTTCTGTCTCCTTTGCCTTATAGTTCTGTTGAGACCCACACATAAAAATCATGACCCCTCGACAAGGTGGCGTAAAATAGGTCAGTGTGACAAGCAGAGGGAACACCAGCTTCCTGGTCCCTGCACACCCTGAGAAAGCTCACTGGCCCTCCTCGTCGCCCATCTGCGCTCCTGCAGCTGAGCGCATATCCTCTCCCCATCCCAGAGACACAGTACAGCCCGGGGGTCCATACACACCTAGAGCCTCCTGCCACCGCCCAGGTTGTGTGTGACACTTGCCAAAGATCCCGTGCGCCTTTCCCGCTGGGGTGTGCACCGCCAAGGGCCTTCTGTCCCATATGCCGGCCAAGTTAGAACATAGAAATCCCCCAATAACCGAGGTTACAGCACGCACACCTACCTTTCAATCTGCTGGAGCTACCCAGGTGGCTCTACACCATTGCTAAGTCAAACTGAGCTTTGATTTTAACCAGCTTTTAAACACGGAGGTCCCAGCTTTAGGGAAGCATCGACTCTGCAGGTTTTGGCTTCAGAGATGCTCAGGTCGGAAGGGACCTCAACAGATCATCGAGTCCGACCCCCTGCCTAGGCAGGAAAGGGCCAGATGCCCCCAGCCAGATGCCTACCCAGCCTTCTCTTCAAGCCCCACAAGGCAGGGGAGAGCACCACCTCCCCTGGGACCCAGGCCAAATTTTGGCCACCCTCACCATGAAGAAGTTTTTCCTGATATCTAGCCAAAATCTGCTCGCTGTCAGTTTGCGACCATTGCTCCTTGTTACCCCAAGATTCGCCCTGGTGACCAGAGCATCTCTGCTCTCTTGCTGCCCCCCAATGCATTTGTAGGCAGCCACAAGGTCACCTCTCGGCCTGCTCTTGCGGAGGCTGAAGAGGTCCCGGTCCCCCAGTC